GGTGCAGGAGACAGCCGATTGATGATTCTCTCTCATCATTGATGTTTCTATCTCTCCCTCCCCCTTCCTCTCTGAAATTAATAAAAATAATAATAATAAAAAGTCGGTGTAGGAGAGATCCAACTTCATCAGGGAATGCGCATGGTATTGCTGAGGGTAAAAGGTTCCCCGTCGTGTAAGGATGTAACTAAGGGACCTTGAGAAGTGTGCCTCCTCTCTCCTGGGAGCAGCCACCAGATCTCCTGATTTGTCGGATCAGCCATCTGCAGATGGCTCAGTGCTACAGCCGTGTGTTTACACTGCCGGAACCAACTGAGGAGATCTTAATCACATGGCTTAAGAAGGGAATGCTGTTCCAAGTCTCATAAAAATTCCCAATGCTTGATCCCTGAATAGTCCAGAAAGATGAGACTTAGAAGTTCCCTTTCATAAGCTCTGTCCAGCAGCAAACTGGGCACCTCCTGAGAATGAGTGCCCCAGCTCTGCCAACAGCACCCAAACGTGCCCCCTGCCAGTTCAGTTTTCATCAGTTCATCTTCCTTCCATCAACAGCATCGAGATGATACTTCACAGCCCAAGGGAATACAGGATTAGGGTCATCATTTCACTGGGTCAAATTTTCAACACATTAGCAGCATGTGGACTCCCGCCATCGTGCATGACTTTGGTAGTCTGACCTGATTTCTTGCAGGCCTGAAACCTGAAGGTCAGTGCCACTTGCCTTGCATGTGCCGACTCCCAGATGAGTTCATTGCCTCCTTGGGAGCAACCAAGACCTCTCCGAGGTCTTAGCCCCCCATGCACACTCCTTTCTAACTCTAGTGTGTGACTCAGCCTCATCTAGAGCATATTGTGGAACCAGGTAGTTATGTGTTTAAGAAAAAAATACTCTTCAACACGATCCATCCAAAATAGTTCATTCAAAATGCAAGACTGTTCTCCCAAGTTGTCACTAATACTGTATTTAGCATTTGTTTATCATGCCTGTAAGGCCATTCCTGACTAGTAAATTTTAGCCTAGATATGTCTGCTTCCCTTACAACAGTGGAACATAGTTCCATTAACATCAGTGAGATAAAACTAGTGTGCTATTTCTAGTCCACTTCATTCCACTTTAACTTCCTGATCATTACCTTTTTAAATAACATTTTCATGGGTCATTAGTTTTGTGGAAGATTCTCCACCACCCATCCCTTCTTATTTTTTCCCATTATCAGAGCCTTGCTTGTTAAAAAAAAAATAGAAAGTAAATAACAAGGCTGACTTGTAGTCACAGTTTCATAAACATATAGCTTATGGCTTCACATTTGCTTTATGAATATAATTGGTGAGTTTAATGAGTCCTAAAAATGTAACCTACTCAAGATGGAGCTAAACCAATATTTAGAAAGTCTCTGCCTGCAGGTATGATGGGAAATTGCATTCTGTTTTGTGCACTTGGAGGTGTTACAGCTGGCCTAGGTGCACCAGAGATGGGTTCCTAGGCGGGACACCTGTGGCAGTTCAGAAGATACCCGTTGTTTCAAAGCAACTGTGACCCAAAGCAGACATAGGCAGCGGGAATTCGTTGCACTCCAGTGTCCTGCTCACCAGTGTTCACGGGATTCCCCTAGACCTCAGCACTTTCCCTCTTCTCCTGAAGCTGCTCTGGATTTCTCAGTTGACAATTAATTATGTAATTTTGTGAGAACCCTTCCACCATTGACTTACATTGTGACTTAATAGTTAACTTTCATTGTTTAATACCTCTTCTACAAAGCTAAATTATAGGTTTCATGAGCATATGGCTGGGTCTTGTTCTTATCCATTCCTCACAGCTCTAGGATTGGAATCCCAGCTCTATGACCTCGAATGAATTCCCTCACCTCTTTCTCAGTTTCTTTGACTACAAAACAAGGCAGCCCAGCTAGTGTGGCTCACTTGGTTGATGTCATCCCATGCATCAGTAGGCTGCTTGTTTGATTCCTGGTCAGGGCACATGCCCGGGTTGCAGGATCGATCCCCAGTAGGGGGCATGCACGAGGCAGCAGATCGATGTTTCTCTCTCATGGACGTTTCTATATCTCTCCCTCTTCCTTTCTCTGAAATCAATAAAAACACATTTTTAAAAGGTTATCATGCCTGCCTTGCAGGGCGTAATAGGAACCAGCTAGCAAAGTGCTGGGCCCCAGGAGGTGCTTGGTGAATGAGTACTTTGACTCACTAAACAGAGGCTGCACACAGAAGCTGAGCAATTGAATATGACAAAGCAGGATTAAACCCTTGTGGGAGGAGAGCTAGTTATGGACTAACTCTTAAAATTTCATGGTGAGGGCACCATTTCCCCTGACCTTGGGCTTGGAGGACAGTTTATAGCCCTGTTTTTATTCATGACTCTTTCATGACCGTCTGACAATCACTTCAAGCTCATCATTCTCCTAAGTCCAAAAGCACTGGTGATTTGATTTGGGATGTGGAGACTGTGCTCATTAGCATCCCCGTCCAACTCATACATTGAAGCATCAGCTCTTCCCTGAGTGGGGAAGCTTTCTCCAGCTCCTTGCAGCCATGAGACAAGTGGTGACGCCCAGGACCGATCCAGCGATCCCTGTGGGTGTCTCTGACTTATTTAAGAATTATCTTTAAAAGCAACCACAGTGGTGGGTGGTGGTGGGGCCTACTGAGACTAAGAGCATCAAAATAAAAGAGAAATGGTGGTAAGAATGAGAGTATGAGGAGGTCTGTACAGAAAACATAAATAGCATTGAGATGAGTTTTCCCCATTTCCCGTATAGTGAGCACATCTGCCAAAACTAAAACTGTACATTATCCACTCAGCCTCTGGCAGATCGCCGAGGTACAGAGCAGAGATGCTTACTTACGGAGGGTCACCCCGCCTTGATTCTGCCATTCCTCTCTTTGTGGTGGAGCTATGTTACAATGAGGAACTGGCCGTGTGACATTCTCGTTGCCGTCTTTGGTTACTTATAAATACGCACTTCTTTGTCTTGCATCCCTTTTAAAGGTTCCTAAGAGAAATGGCAATAGGACAGTATGACATTTATTGAATCTATTATGTCAGCTTAGTAGACCACAAAACTGTAGGTTAGATGAGCTCCTTTTTAATAATAATTCTAGGGGACTGGACAAATAGGGACTCTAGCCTGCATGCATTGGTTAGGGTTGGAATGTTGGTTTACTCGATGCCTTGCCCCAAACATAATTTGAGACAACACTTACCAAGCAGTGTTGTCAGCTTCTGTAGTTGTATGTTACAGGCACACTTAGACTTATGACATACTCAGGAATATACAAGTTTTCTCAGGCGTTTATCGTGTTCGAGAGACCCTAGCTAGATGCAGAGTTACAATGAGAAATGAAACAATCCATGATCTGCAGAACCTTGCTGTCTTATGGTAGAAACAGACCCAATTAAGTATAACAGAACTGAGATGGCAATGATTGCCCTTGCAGAGCTCTAATGTGGGGCTAACAGTCACGGTTTTGGTTGTATTTCTTTTTTAACCAAATATCTCAGGACTCATTAATGACAGAGAATTTTTAATCTGGTATTTTATTTAAAGTCCTTCAAACTTCTTAACAATTAAAATCCCACTCAGTTATGTATCTAAGAAATTTCCCTTACGGGAAAGAATGCAGCGATATAAAACAAGTGCTGCCCTGGGGATCCACATGCCTCACTCTGGCTGTGGGGCTGAGAGGGTGTGTCAGTCCTTCTGTCTAGGAGGTTTGGAGAGGGCTCCCAGAGGAGCTGATGTCAGAGTCGAATTGTGAACAGCAGATATAAGTCCTCATAAGAGTTTGGCTCTGTGTGCTGTGGTGAATTTAATACATGTGGAAGTCGGTCACAAAGCTTGCCAGTTCCTCTTGCTCTACGCCTATTCCCCTAGCAGATATTTTTAAATCACTGGTACAATGGCTTCTTTTACCTGATTTGTACATCACAAGTTGTAGGCTGCCGCTCCTCCCAATGGGGTCAGCAGTGCTTGCAAGAACCTCGAGGATGCCTGGTTTTGCATAGAGGGTAAGGAAGCCTGCCCCAGATACCAGCAAGTTTAATCCACTTCCATCGGGGAGAAAAACAATTGGCCTTAGGCAGTGTATTTCTAATTATCTAAGTTATTTTCTGTGTGTGTGCATAAATAGCACCTTTTCAATCTGTGTAAAATACAATGGATGAGCAGCACACGACAGTTTACCAGGAGAGAAGACAGCTGCGCGGCAAAGCTGCTGCTTATAATGAGGGAAGGACTAGCCCAGGTCCTGTGCCACTCAGCAGCTTCCACCTTTCAAATGGCAGCCAGTTTGTTTAGCCCTGTAACCCCCATTCTTTACGGGCTGGGGGTTCATTTCTTGCTGAGAACACTGCTTTAGATTGTCATCATCTCCGGTATCATTGTAGGATCGGGTATGACGTGACGACTGAAAAGTCCCAACTAGAAGCCATGATGAATGAGCAAAATGGGAGTTTGCTTTTAATGTCTCCTGTGAACTTGTAAGTGAGGCAAAACTATTTTGAAACCCTACAGGCTTTCTGTTTTGAACAGGCCACACTGCCAGTTGCGCGGTTAACAAGCCACCTGGAATGCCGTCTTGGGCCCCAGGCAGCTGCAGCAAGTGTCCGCGCACTCCTGGTGCAGAAGGGCTCTCCGCAGGGCCGACTGGGAGGGAAATTAATAGGCATCCCATTGTTCCCGTGCATCCTCGCCGGGATATTTCATTAGTGCAAACACTGAACCCGTTGTCGTCCTGTGCAGCCACTTGACCCTGGTGATTTCCAATTCGGTTCGCCGCCGATGCGATCCAGCAGCCGCATGCGCGAGGCGGGCGCTAATTATCGGACGCAGAATCGCTGCTGACCCAGGACAGATTAACTGCTCCTTTGCAGTCTTTGTTGTGGGACATTAGCCCCGTCTGGTTATCTTGCTTCAGTTGAGGGATTCGGGACAATAGCGGTGCTGCCGGTGACTTCACGGCCCTTCTCCCTGTTTGTGTTGCAGGTCACGGCCAGGGGCTTCGGGCCGCTGTTGCAGTTCGCCTACACCGCCAAGCTGTTGCTCAGCAGGGAAAACATCCGCGAGGTCATCCGCTGCGCCGAGTTCCTGCGCATGCACAACCTGGAGGACTCCTGCTTCAGCTTCCTGCAGACCCAGCTGCTGAACAGCGAGGATGGCCTGTTCGTGTGCCGCAAGGACACGGCCTGCCCGCGCCCCCACGAGGACCATGAGAACTCGGCGGGGGAGGAGGAAGAGGAGGAGGAGGAGGAGACGATGGAGTCGGAGACGGCCAAGATGGCCTGCCCCAGGGACCAGCCGCTCCCACACCCCGGCAGCCTCGAGCCCACGGCCATCCCGGGAGCCCAGAAGGAAGAGGCTTTGCTGGCGCCCGAGGCCGACGGGCCCGCGGACACCAAGGAGAGCTCCGAGAAGGACGCGTTGACGCAGTACCCGCGGTACAAGAAGTACCAGCTCGCATGTACCAAGAATGTCTACAATGCATCCTCACACAGTACCTCAGGTTTCGCAAGCACATTCGGTGAGGACAGCTCCGGCCACAGCCTCAAGCCCGGGCTCGCCATGGGGCAGATCAAAAGCGAGCCGCCCAGTGAGGAGAACGAGGAGGAGAGCATCACGCTCTGCCTGTCCGGGGACGAGCCTGACGCCAAGGACCGAGCGGGGGACGTGGAAATGGACCGGAAGCAGCCCAGCCCCGCGCCCGCCCCTGCGCCCCCGTCGGGGGCCGCCTGCCTGGAGAGGTCCAGGACCCTGGCCTCCCCCTCCTGCCTGAGGTCTCTGTTCAGCGTAACAAAAAGTGCGGAGCTGTCTGGCCTGCCCGGCACATCTCAGCAGCACTTTGCCAGGAGTTCCGCGTGCCCTTTCGACAAGGGCATCACTCAGGGTGACCTTAAAACTGACTACGCCCCCTTCGCGGGGAATTATGGACAGGCCCACGGGGGCCAGAAGGATGCGTCCAGCCTCCCGATGGGGTCGCCCCTCAAGGGCCCTGGGGTGGAGGCTCTCTGTAAGCAGGAAGGAGAGCTGGACCGGAGAAGTGTCATCTTCTCCTCGAGCGCTTGTGACCAAGTGAGCACTTCGGTGCATTCGTATTCTGGGGTAAGCAGTCTGGACAAAGACCTCTCTGAGCCGGTGCCAAAGGGTCTGTGGGTGGGGGCTGGCCAGTCCCTCCCCAGCTCGCAGGCCTACCCCCACGGTGGGCTGATGGCCGACCACTTGCCAGGAAGGATGCGGCCCAACACTAGCTGCCCGGTGCCAATCAAGGTCTGCCCTCGCTCGCCCCCCTTGGAGACCAGGACCAGGACTTCCAGTTCGTGCTCCTCCTATTCCTACGCGGAGGATGGGAGCGGGGGCTCGCCCTGCAGCCTCCCTCTCTGTGAGTTCTCCTCCTCACCCTGTTCCCAGGGAGCCAGATTCCTTGCCACAGAACATCAGGAACCAGGCCTGATGGGAGATGGAATGTACAACCAAGTCCGACCCCAAATTAAATGTGAGCAGTCTTACGGAACCAACTCCAGTGACGAATCCGGATCGTTCTCGGAAGCAGACAGTGAGTCGTGTCCTGTGCAGGACAGGGGCCAGGAGGTAGGGAACCCGCCTAAATTCAAGCATGTCATCCACTCTCTCAGTCCTTTATCTGGACTCTCCCTGCCCCCCTCCCCACCACTCACAGAGTGTTCTTACTTGCCAAGATTAAAGGTTACGGTAAAGGGACTGCCTCCCCTGTTCATGGATGGTTCAAACTGATTCCAAATTATCACTTTTGTCCTAGAAAGCACTTGAAATTTACCTAGATTTAATAGTCAACCAGCAGATGCAAACTGCTTATTGAAAAAAAGCATGAAAGCATGCCCGGGTACTTCAGACCTCCCTTGCTCCTTCTCCATCCGCTCTGAACGGATGCTGTACCCATCACCTTCATCCTTGCTCCTCACCCCTTCAGTGTAAAGGGAAATATAGAAACACTTTCAAAACCCATTAAAACTAGATAGATCCACACTAAACAAGTGCTTTTCTAGCACCCTTTAAGTTTTCCTTATCAACAGAAGACCCTGGGGCCAACCCGTGCAGATGGACAGCTCACCATCCCTTCTGGGCTCAGGGTCATTGCAGAAGCACCGTAATCAGTCACACATAACTTAGTAACATACCACTTCCCAGGCTCCCCACAAATGGTGAGGAGTTATTTTGGGGCGCAGTGGGATTGAGTGCCCGTTTCGGTCCACCCCAAAAGCAAAGTACTTTATAGGTAAAAATTGCCAGGCTCCATCCATGTCTCACCAACGCTGGGAGAGGGAGCAGGAGCAATACCAGCCACATTGTCAACACGACTCACATGGCTCAGGAAACAGACACCCCGTATGTTTCCCCTCCCCACCACCACCTCAGAAGCGCCTGGAAAGAGATGAGAGAGTCTGTGCCACAATCTGGCACGGCCTAACCTGGTGACCAGGAACCAGCCTGAGACTGCCACCTGTGTCTCAGACCTGCCTCTGGACCTAGAGTAAGCGCATCCAGTGGGAAGTCCCTCTCCAGAGCTGCTTATTCAAAAGAGACAGAGGGAGACAAAGCGTGGTCCTCAGGAGGCCTGCGCTCCCTGGATCTCAGCCTCTAGTAGGGCAGGGATGCTAACCCCACCAGGCAGCGGAAATGCCACACGGGTGAGGTGGCTTTTCACAGAGCCACATGCTGTCTCTGCAAGCTTGGCGAGAAGTATCCGAGGCCTTAGTTCGGGCATGTTTTGAAAATAGATTCCAGACTGCAGAAATAACCTGTGGTCACTGCCTTGTTTTGCTGGATAGCCCTCTCTCCTTTTTGCCTGGCAAAAAATGGAGAAAGGCAGGCTTTAAGTGAGTTAAAAGAAATTGTAAAGGCAATTTGAATGGGAACTATTTCTACTCAACTACACCATATCCCCTCAGGTTGGGGTGGGAGCTTGTGCCAAGCCAGAGGCGCGTCTGTGTCTCTAGCCTCAGAGACCAGAAGTCTTGTGAGAACAGCCAGAGGTTGTGCTCTCCCCCCTCACTCACTCCTTTCCCTCCGATCACTTTTGTGAGGTTGTCTTCTTTTCCCCTGAAGCTTTCCATAAGCGCCCCCGATGCAGAGGCCTCGTCACTGGGTCTGGTTCGTCCACATAGTGATTTAATCTCGCCAAGGATTGGTGTCGCACACAAAAACAAAAAGCCTCCAAACCTTTGTTTTTTGTCTCTCCCTCAAGAGGAGCCCTGCCGTTACGCTAAAGGGGCTGTGTTTTTATGACATTTGCACATGCTTAAGGAACTGTCCGTTTCAGATAAAGCTCTGTGGTTTCTCTACTATCCCAAAAGAGAGCTGAAAGCCACTTCTTGGAACTAAATGCCACCAACAAGAGCCCATGGTTTTTCTTATGTTTGAGCCATCTTTCGTCTGCCTTAGAGCTTTTCACTTCTACATGAATCAGTTTAAAGGAGGATTCATTCAACCTATAAAAATAGTCAGGAACAGGACTAGTCTCCCCTTGAAAAATACCACTGCTTTAAAAAGTACTTTATTTTTACTTTTTTTTTATTAGGGTTTTTGCATATCTAAACAGTGGAAGAAGTGACATTTACCAAAGTTCTATGCTATTTCAGAAATCACACTTCGCCCCTCTTGGTAGTACATTTAGGACAGGATCGATACAGGAAAGCTAAGGTTTTTCCCAGTTTGACGTTTTAGTTTTCCTAGAGTAGAGGAGATTAGGTTTCCCAAGAACTGTTTCAGGGACTCATCATCACTGCTCATCTTTGAGTTCATCACTTGCTTACGGGAGTTCCTTTGACCCTGGTGGGAGTATGGTGCCCTGTAATAACACTGAAGGCAAATCCTTTACAACGTGACTCATAACTCATTTCCCTGCACTGCTCCAGAAGAATCCAACGTGTACTGGGCTGATTCTGCCCCAGTTTGCTCTTGTGTAAGGTCCAGGTAACTTCTCTTCCAAGTAACTTCTCTCCCAAGGAGAGATCAGAGTCAAAAGCCAGAAAGAGTTCTCACCGCCAGCCAGGCACCTGTCCCGTACTGCAGGTACTCTGTGAGGAGCCGAAATGTTCAATCAGAAGAGGTGTTAGCCTACTTTAAGATGTTCAAGTTCTGCCCTGTTAACTCTCTCATCTCATCAGTGTTGACCTCTCTCATCCTTTCTAATGATTCCCTAGTGCTGAAGAAAGCTTAAGTTAGCACAATACTGTCCTTTATCAACAATCAGCTTTTTAAACTTTATTTTTTTTTTTAATAATCAAACAGCATACCCAGTTCCTGACCCACCAAATTCTCTGTGCCTACAACAACATACAAACACATATCCACATCTCTAGAGGCTTGGGTTTTATTTTCATGGCATTTACAGAATAATTACTCAGTGACTTGCTTTTCCACACAGCTGTCTCCTGTGTACATGCCTCTAGGTCCATCACATGGGGCTTCTTTAACATCCATCAGTCCCATAAACCACAATTTACTCATCTATCATCTCTCAGCAACCATTCCAGTTTTTTCCAATTTTTCCCCTCTTATAAATGCTGCAATAAATATTTTTGTGAAGATACTTAGTAGTGGTGCTTTTATTTTTATGGGTTAGAGTTCCTTAAGTGGGTTAAAGGTTATGCTCATTCATTAAATACTGCCTAACTACTCTCCCCAAAGGCTGTAGCAATTCCCATATCCTTCAGCAATTTCCTCCTGTTCTTGCCAGTAGGAGTGATCCATCCTTTTAATTTTTGCCAATGTGATGGGCAAAAAAAGGATGACTGCTAATGAGGTTGACATCTTTGTCCATTTTTCTTTCGTGTTGTCTTTCAATCAGTGTACAGAATCCTTAATATAGGAATATTAACCCTTTCTGATAAATGTTTTCTATATTTTTCCAGGGGTTTTTAACTTATGGTATATTCTTCTATATAGAAAATTTTAAGTTTTATGTAGTTGTTATCCATTCTTTTCTTTATGACTTCTGGGTTTGCTATTTACATAAAAAGTCAGTTTGGAAATTTTTTTTTCTTCCAATGATGAAAAAATGAATAGGTCATAAGAAGTAACAAAAGTAACACTTTGCATAACAAAGTCTTAGTTTGACTGAAAATGGGAGGCAAAGTTGGGGAGAAGGAGTATAGGGGAAAGTTTCATTTCTATGTATTTCTATAATGTTTTAATTTTATTACATATATCTCACACAGGTTCATTTTTTAAATTGAGATGTAATTCACATACCATCAAATCCACCCTGTTAAAGTGAACAAGACAAGGGTTTTGAATGATTCACAAAATTCTATGACTATCACCACTCTAATTCCAAGACATTTTTATCACCCCTGAAAGAAACAACATACCCATCAGCAGCCACCCCTCGGTACTCTCCCTCAACTCAGGAAACCACTGCTCTGCTTTCTGCCCCTATAGCTATGCCTACGCTGGACATTTTATATCAATGAAATCTTACACTCTGTGGCCTTTTGTGTCTGGCTTCTTTCACTGAACATAATGTTTTCAAGGTTTATTCTTGCCATTGATATGCCCCCCATATGTCATGTATCAGTTACTTCATTTCTTTTTTGTTGCTGGATAATATTCCACGTGCATGTACCACACTTGGTGATCCATTCATCAGTTTGGTGACTTTTGGGTTGTTTACCCTTTTAGGCTATTGTCAGTAATGCTGCTGTGAGCTCTTGTGTGCAAGTTTTTTGTAGATGTGTTTTCAGTTCTCTTCGTTACATATCTAGGAGGGGAATTGCTGAATCACATGATAACTCTCTTCGACCTTTCCAGGAATTATCAGAGTGTTTCCCAAGGCAACTGCACCATTTTACATTCCCACCAGCAGTGTATGAGGGATCCAGTTGCTCCACATCCTTGCCAACATTCGTTATTGTCCATCTTTTTTATTATAGCCATTCTAGTGGATCTGAAGTAGTATCTTGTTTTGGTTTACAGGTTCATTTTTAACATTTGAAAGTTATAGAAAAGTCACAAGTATTTTCTAAGTAGGAAGCTTCTTAGTGACACGGTTTTATACCATACCAATTTCTAATCCTGAACTTTAGTCAGGAAGTACTGGAAAGACAGCCAAAAGTAGTGATTAGTTGGGTTTGCTTTATTAACATGGATCATGTCAAGAGGGATCAAGTATGTGAGTGTGTGTGTATCCTTGTGTGTTTCTATAGGAGCCAGGGGCAGGGAGAAATAAGGCCCAGCACCAACACTGACAAATAATCACCTCGATGAGCTTGTCTGCCTCTAACTCTCCCGCCCAAATGCTGACTTCCAGGCACATGTTACATGTAAAGTGTTTACAGTTGCTTTAGTGGTTGGTTGAATCGGGCATCTTTTTTCACGTGTCTGTAATTGGCCCACCTAATGAAAAGAAGGCCTTGCTGGGCAGCATAGACGTCAGCCGTATTTCTAACTAAAACAGTCCTTTTGTGATGTCTAGAAAGCTGTGCTTAGCATCTGTAATTTCAAAGCATACTGTATGTCTAGAATAAGGAACCATGTGACAAAGAAAAATAAATTATATTTATTAGAGCTAATAAATATAATGTTATTAACAATATGTCAGATCTATAAGG